GTGAGCCGTGAGCACCTCGGACAGGGAACCAAGGGCGTGAGCATGGAGGACAGGTAGCTAATGACTCAGTCACGGCGACGGGGCTGGCCGGTTGGAAGGCTCCTGGGCAAAGCTCAGCCAGTCACAGGCGGTTTAGAGAAGGTCGCAGCGCCCTGGGGGTTGCAGGCCCAAGTGGGTGGGTCACTTCAGTGTTTTTGCACTTGATCCTTATCAACAGCCTGGTGATCCAGCCTGTGGTTTTGATGACCCCTCTGGCCTCAGTAGCTGGCCCCTCACTAAGGGGTGCCAGGACGGGAGAGAGAGGGCCAGAAAAGGGAACAGCTGAGCCGAGATGAGGTGGAAACCTGGACATGTGCAGTAGTCTTCGTGGGCCTCGGTTGGCTCATCTGTAAAGGGTGGGGGCTGGACTCGTCTTGCAGTTCCCCCCCCCCCCATTTTGCGCAGCTAGAGGTAGGCGGGAATTATGATTACAGCAGGGAGAGAAAAGAAAGTGAGGTGGGGTGGCGGGGGAGAACGTGAACCACAGAAGGGTGGCTGAGGAGAGCATTTCTTTGATCAGACTCCTCTGTCCCTTGGCGTGACCCTGGGCAGGCCCCCAGCCCTCTGGGGGATGCGACCTCTCATACGGAGATTACAGTGAAAACACCGGCTTAGATGGTCTTTGGACTTAAGGGCTCCAGTCAGGGTACAGTACCGGGGGGAGGGACATGTGGACTCACCCTGGTAAAATCATCTCTGGAGACTATATGGGTGGTGGCTGAGGTTGTGGGGGCAGGCACAGGACTGGAAGTGAAATTTTTACTTTTTGGGGGTGACATTTTGTGATGACTGACTTTATGTGGCAATGATTTATCACACCAGGCAGTATCTATGTCCTCTCTCCCCAGTCTAAAGCAGATGTGGTCAGCCAGGCAGAGGGAGATAAGCCACCGAGGTTTCTGTGAGTTACTTCTGGTGGTGCTTGGACGGAGGGGTTGCCCGCAGCTGTTTATTTGGCCGTGTCCAGGGCATCAGAGGGAGGGCCAGCTGGGAACATGCCAGGGGCTTTGGGAAGACTGGAAGGCAGTGGGGACCCTGGCTAGCGCGGTCCGAGTTTTGAGCAAGGGTCTGCCACCAGTGTGCGTGGGCTTCTCTCCTCCCCGGGGAGCCTGCAGACTGCAGAGGGCCAGGCGGGGTGGCTGGGCCTGGCCGGTGGGGGGTTCTGGCCTCGCGGGCGCAGCTCACCCACGTGAGCTTGGGTGTCATGTGACCGCTCAGAACCCCTGCGCCTGAGGCTGGGACCCACAGCACCCTCAGCGTGGTGAGCACGGGGGCGGTGGGCAAAGGCCCGGCCAGCTTGTGGCTGCTCAGGACTGTTACTCCCGTTCTTTCTCCTCCAGCTTCAGGAGCCCAGGGGGGTACTAGGCGGACCGGAGAGGGCTCGCTGCCGTTTGGTTTGAGCGCAGTTTCCTTTCGGGTGTTTGAGAATGGATGACGCTGGCCCGTTCAGCCCGCCGCACCCCCTCCCGGCGCCCGCGGCGCGGGGCACACGGCCTGCAGCTCCCCAGGGTAGTTGGGGTTCCTCACCTCTAGGAACCTCCTCCGAAACATTATCTTAGTGGACTTCACACTTTCTGGTAGAGGAGCCCCTCCTCCCCCAAACGAAATCTCATGTGAAATCTCATCTAAACGAGCTCACTTTCTGACAAATTTATAGGTGACAAAATTAGCGAGAGCAGGAGGTCTGAGCTGGTCTCCGGTGTGCCGAAACGCGGTGCAGAACGTCTGAGGGCATTTTGAAAAGCAGTTGGACCGTTACAAAATCTCAGTTGACAAACACAAAGCCCCTGCACCAGCTGTGGAGCCCCAGTCCCCGCCGGTCAGACCCCCCCGCTCCACCGCAGAAGGGTCTCTCCAGAGGCCCCGGGGCCCTCTGTGTCCAAGATGTTCCTCAGATGGTCTAGGAGTTTCTGCGTGTGACCGGTGAGAGGCCTGGATTCCGGGCCACACCCTGTCTCCCCTCAGAACGTGTGTGGCCGGGTGAGCGACTTGGCCTTTGCGTGCCTTGGTGTCCTGTCAGTGGGGACAGTGGCAAGTACCCCGGGGGGACACAGGCACGCGAGGCACTCAGACAGCCTGGTCACCGGGCCGCCGGGAAGGATGGGCTGGCTCGAGCTGCTCCCCAAGGAAGAGGAGCCCGAGTTTGGCTGCTGGGAACGCGCCTGTCTAGAATGTTCTCTGGGGGATCCCCGGCGGGAGGCAGGGGGTGGGGGTGGGGGCAGGAGCGCCAGCACGTGGCGGCCACACCTATCCTAAGCTCGACAGTGGGCCTGCTCCGGGCAGGGGGTGTCCGTGGCCACCCTGGGCTTGGCTCCCAAGCCCCGGGGGCGGGGAGTGTCAGAGGCCACCTGATGGGGGCGCTCAGGGCCCGCGACATGCAGGGGCGGCCAGGGGCACGGAGGGCTGGGGGCCCCCAGAGACCCGAGGAAGCACCTCTAGTCCAGGCGCGACTCCCCGGTGAGGACAGGCTCCCTCTGAGGGAGGTCCACGGCACGGGTGAGGTGGTTTACTCTCGAGACCGTCGTCTCTCTTCTGTGCATCACACTCCGGGCTCAGGTGACTCCGTCTCCATAAATTGCGCTCGGACTCGAGAAACCCGAGGCGGACACGTGTGGCCCGTGACAGCCACCTGGGCTCTCCACTAAGAAAGCTGCGGGGTGTGTGTGTGTGTGGGGGGCACCCCCTGCCCCCCAGCGGAGGGGCCAGCACCGCGGGCCCACATCATGGCCACATTCAGTTTCGTGATGAGCAATAAAATTCACATGTTCTTTATTTAGTCGATATAATACACCATTTTTAGAGTTTCTTTAAAATTAGATAAAAGAGAATATTAAATGGCAAGTGTGTGAAGTTTCTCTTCATAAACAATGTCAAAACAAAAAGTTCTGAATTACAAAATGTTAAAAAATATGTAGGTACGTAACATCTCACTGAAGCATAAAGTCACAGATATCTTCTAAAGAAAAATAATTGTGCCACTTCCCTATCTTGCTGCTTCTATGAACTTTTTTATTCTGTACATAGGACATTTTGTACAAAATAGGAAGTCTACATTTTTATTACTTATTACCGTAAAACAAAGATACAATGTATGTACAATAGTGAAGGAAGCCATACTGAAGCCACACTAAAAAGACACTGAACAGTGACAAGTCTGGCGTCCAGAGGCCGTGTGGGAGGGTGAGAGGCTGCACGCGGAGCTGTGTGAGTTCGCCGGTCACCGGCTCGCTGCCGGCGTCTGCGCCAGCGTGTGCTGTCTGTCTACAGCAACGTGTAAGCCAACGGTCAGCACAGGGAATCGAGTTTTCACCAGGAAACCTGGACAGGCCAAACTATGAAACAACACTCGTCAATGAAAATGAGTCTCCAGACTTTCTCCCCTCCTGTTTGGTGGATGTTTGTGTTCCACACAAAGTAGAAATAAAGCCTAGACAAAAGAAGATGTTCTTACACGCTGAGCTTCACACAGTCACCCAAACACTGATAGCTGCTTCTCCCCGCAGGGCACGAGAGTCGCCCGCAGACTCTCAGGCATCCTGCACACCCCAAACCCGGCTGCGCTGGAGGTTCAAACAATGGTCCATCAGAGTACGCGAGACACGGCTTTAAGCAATGAAAAGCACCCTTTTGCCTCACAAGGAGAAGGCATCTGAACTTTTAAGCGGTAAATTTCCTAGAATGGGCAGGCGCTGGTCAAGTTTCCCAGGAAGTGCTGCTGCTCGCTGGGCGGGACCTTCGCACCGGCCTCGCCCCGCGGGCGTCCCCCAGGCATCCCGGGACAAGGGGCAGCACCCACGCAGCCCAGGCGCCACGTGGACACGACGTGCAGCAGGGGACGCGGCTGCGAGCCATCTGCCTTTCCGGTGGGTCCCCGAGACCTCGCGGGGAGACGCGGAGACGGTCCCGAGAAGCCGCGCGTTATCTTCTCCGCGGGGCGCCGGCACCGGCCCTGGAGTCCGCGCGGTAGAAAGCAGAACCCAGGTGGCGGCAGCCGTGCCCAGCCGGGCGAGCAGCGGCCCGTGAGGCGGAGGCCAGGCCCGCGCTGGCCAGGG